TCAATTACCCTATTCACTTACCATACATCAAATGTAGGGGACACCCCACATGTTAGGATTGCCGAAATGAAGCGAACTATTTGGGAAAACCCAACTTGAAAGCTTAAATTTAGAAATGAAGGAAGACTCCATTTATATGAAGAGAGTATAAACTCCATAGACAAACGATATAGTATACTTTAATGCCTTTTTTCATGAGCAAATTGGATTAAGAACGATACGTGGGATTTGACAAACGAAAAGCCATACGCATGAAATAAACTTGGCCAGAACTCGACTATTTGTATGATCGACGAGCTTGAGCTAGGTCTTTTGTTTCGTGCGGAACTATTTGGGTCATTACACAATCTTAAATTTGAGTCACCATTTGAGAGATCGTAATGGCATACATAACTATAGTTAGGTTCATGGCATTGCTTCAACATTTCGAGGATGTTCATTGGGTGGGACACTTGAAGCGTGGCGCGTAGTCGCTTGGCATTAGTTTCTCAAAGAACAGAAGCCTCCGAATGGTCATAATCTCATAAGAAGATCGGTTGATCTATGAGTGTTTTTTTCCTCTCTTTTTTTTCTTTTCTTGGGATCATAAGCTACCCTACTGGGATCCGAGGCTATCCGGATCCCATTTGCGCTCTTGATTAGACAGCAAATCAGTGATCAATTTGATTTTTCGTGCTTGGGGGGGGAATCGAGGGTTTCGAGGGGGGAAAAAATTGGAGTTCCCAAGATGGTAGCAATCCCTCTACTTTGTAGCATGAGCTTGTGCATGAGTTGGGAGACCGCCATTCTTTCGGAAGATCCGATTTCTGACGTGAATATTCATACTTACGTTCACCATCAAGGCAGATATGAATCGAAGACCTGTGTTTTGCTAATGGTCTCTAAGTTTGCGTTCGATTTAGAAGACCTAGATGAGTACTTATGATTCATGCACGCATGTATCTGAGTACCTTATGTTGTTACTCGTACGGCGGATTTATTAATGGATGGTTCATATGATTATCGTATCTTACTAATGAAGAAAAGAAGTCTTATAGTGCTATGACATGCTGACACTTGTCCTGGTTTAAGCGGGATTGGTTTGGCTTAGTTTGTGGGGAAAGTAATTTCTAGCTTTTTATTTTTCTCTTTTTTGCCTTTTTCTCTTTGCTTCAAATGCAAGAAAGATTTCGCATTTTACATGTACATAGATTTGGTTGCTTATACTATATTGTGCGTGTGTAATTTTAGAGAATTTTATCGAATGTTCATTTTTAGAGATAACGGTTCGCATCTTCGTGTCGTATTAGATGCTCGTTTTATGTGACAATATTGATAAGGTTGTTAAGTATAGTTTATCCGGATCTTATATGCTGCGTTTGATGGTAATGCAAAATCTTTTCATGTCTCGTATATTTAGGATCTTGTATAAATAATAAGGCCGATGAAGCATAATTTTAGTGCTCTAGTTTTTATTATTCGAGACATTTGGTCCTCTAACTTTATTTATTTTTAATCAAGTCCTTCCATTAATCTTATTGCCGATATCGTTGAATTGATAATCTGACATCGCTAATGTGGCATATAAAGGGCATGTAGCGCTGAATAAGTGCCGCGTTAGAAAATCGATAAAATAAAGCAAAAGAGAAAAAGGAAAAGGAAAACAAAATCCTAGGGGGGAAGGGGGGGAGGGGTGCAATTGAGCGAACATGATATTCAAATATACCAACTTCTCGACCCATGTATATGGATTTCCAACGAAAAGCAAAACTAAAGATAGTGTATCAAAACATTTACCAGGAGAATTGTCATGCACATATCCAAATTTGCATTAACTAGATGATGGGAAGTTCTTGACCCCAAAAAAAAAGAAAAGAAAAATGACGGGGGAGTCGCACTATTCATAGTACCTTTGTTCTTTTGCACTATTCACGGTACCAACTACGCATGATGGGAGACCAAACTCTAAGTTTTTATATGAAGGCCCTTCTTCTTTATCAATCTCACGCATCTTCGCTTTCTTTTAATTAAGGAGCGTTCGTGCAACTATACCATCTCACACGTCGTTGCAACCTTTCAATGACCCCCAAATCACATGGATGTAATTAAAGCTCTTCAAAGCTCCCCCCTCCTCCACGACTCCTCTTGCCAAAAAATTGGTCCCGACCCCTAGCCTCACCAGAAGTCAACGCAATTAAAACCCGGGGCTAACCCCAGAAGCTTCCCGCGCCCCCACCCGTCCGGGCAAATTCCAATTTGGACCCGTTTCTATTTCACCCAAGAAAAAAAAAATGAAAAAGAAATCAGTACATTGAAAGTCCTAAAATTTATTACGAAAATACAGTTGAGTTCCAAAACTTTTAAAAAGTACAATTAAATCCTAAAACTCATCAAATTGATCTAATTAAGCTCTTTTCTTAATTGCACTTTGTGAAAATTTTAAAACTCGATTGCACTTTCGTAACAAGTTTTAGGGCTCGATTGTACATTTTGAAAGTTTTAAGACTTTAATTGCACTTTCGTGATAAGTTTTAGGACTTGATTGTACTTTTTGAAAGTTTTAGGATTCAATTGCGCTTTCGTGACAAGTTTTACGATTTCCAACATGCTCATTCCAAAAAAGAAAAAATTACATAACACGATCTAACTTATGAATTACGACGAGCCCGATAGTTAAATCTTGACAAAACTTATATCAATCGGTCTATTTTTGTGTTACCGCCGTCGCGTGTTGAGTAAAATTAGATACCCCGCTCAAGGAGGGGGGCGGAATTTTCATTTTTTTTCTTAAAGGTGGGGGGGGGGCGTGAATCACACGCACGCTGGTCAAGAAAAGGCGTGCCGATGCGTAGACCGACGGGGGAGGAGGAGAGAGATTAAATTAATCGCAAATGACGTGATTAATTAATCAATCAATATAATCTAATCCCGCCACAGAAATCCATGTACGGATGGTGACCCGTCATTCCAAATATATTTTTATACCCCAACCCGAATCAAATTCCAATTTGCCGAGTAAGATTCCCAAATTTTAATCAAAGATTGCAAGGAAAAAATCATTAATTCCTTTTTTTTTAATTGACAGGAGGGCGGAGCCAAAGCTCTCCTCTCAATTTTTTTTATTTTATTTATGTATAACCTTGAAGCCAAGTGGGTGGGAAAAGAACAGGATCAACCTCCATTCCATCCCAAACTTCATCAAGATCTGATTTTTTTTTAAATTTTTTTTTGTCACTAGGATCATGTCACCACCTTTCTCAACACAAGGTCAAGCGAGTTGAATTTTTACATTTCGGAGCAATATTTTAGCAGCGCAAGCCTATATTTTTTGGCCCCACCAACATTGCTATCGAGACCATTGAATCGTCAGTCATGAACTCGAAATCGCTGTCCATCGATTGGCTTCTTCTTAACTTCAAGCTAATTGTTACCTAGCGAGGGGGGGTCATCCATTCGCATATCTACCAATAGGCGCGCTCGATTTTTCGGGTTTTGTTAGGTGAATTGATTTCATCGGTGAACATCCTTCACGACGATCTCTTCCGGGCTTCGATGCACTTTCGATTTTTCCATCCGTCTTGAAAGATCACGAGGCGACTGCACCCCGCCCCCCCGGTTCAATTTCCGTGCTTCGACAAAGGAAATAAGAAAAGGCACGACAGAAAATTCGGCGTTCCTCAAATTCTCCTTTCTTACATACAGATAATGGTCGACTGACTCGAACAAAACAACCTTCCGAGGGACAAGATCGAACGCTAAGATTGACGGGCAGAAAAATCTCAAGCACGAGTACTGAACGGGGGGCTAAAGAGAAGGGGAAGCCATTCCATTCCATTTCGTTCCTCTGACGAAAACGACCCGAGTAAACCTAACAAATTTGACCGCACCATGGTAAATTGATAATGGACGGTAAATCCCAGAAGAGAGAGAAACTAGAGAGAGAAGGTAAAAGGAGGAGGGGGATGATGACGGCGACCCATTAAAGAAACACGTAGAGAGAGAGAGAGAGAGAGAGAGAGAGGGGAGGGGTGGGGGAGTGTGTATGTGGGGGGTTTGCTTTTTGGAAAACAATATTTAAAAATTTGCACAGAGGGAAGGGCTAGAGAGAGAAGGGCTAGAGAGAGAGAGAGAGAGAGAGAGAGAGAGTGAAAAGCAGAAAAGAGAGAGAGAGAGAGAGAGAGAGAGAAGGGAAGGGAAGGGGGAAATGAAAGCAGGTGAAGCAAGAACAAGAAGAAGGGGAAAGACGATGATGGTGGTGGTGCTGCTCCGCTCCCGGTTGCCTCTCCTCTCCCTCTCCTTGTCCGAGACGCGCGCCGATTCCCACCGCAAGGCCAACAGCTCCTCCTCCTCCACCCTCCTCCTCTTCCTCCTCCTCATCCTCCTCGTCTTCCTCCCTCGCATCTAGAGCCATTCTCTCTCCCCCAAAAGCGACGAAACACCCGACAGAGCAAAGGGGAAAAAGAACGCACCCCGCTTGCCCCTCCGTTTCTCTTCTTTGAAGAACCGAATAACCCGCGGTCGTCATTCGGGTCTGGCGGTTCCGTGGCGATTCCGGAGGTCAAGAGAGAGCGCGTTTTCTTGGGGTCGAAAAGGCGTCTTCTTTTTGGTCGGTGCTGCTGCTCCTCCTCCTCCTCCTCCCGCCGGTCCGTGGATTCGGGGCTTTTGTTGATTCTGGGATCGGTTGGATTTTAGTTAGGGCGGGGGGTGTGGGTCTTGTCGTGCTACTTTGGCGGTGCTTGGAGACCGAGATTCTAGTGGTGTACATAGTTAACTTGCGTTGATTCATTGGCTAGAGCAGTCTGAGTCCTCCATTGGAAGTGTTTTGTGATTCTTGGAGGATTCCTTCTGATCGTTATCCTTTTTTTTTCTTTTGGGTTTAGAGAAAAACCCCGCCTTTGAGAACAAAAAAGAGAAAAAAAAAAAGAAGATTTAATACCCGGACAAGCCCGCATTTTTACAGTGGGTTCTTGTAATAGTTTGGATATAACAGTTTTTTTTTTTCTCCTCCTGGGGGTTCTGGATTCAGTTCATGTCAAGGACACTTGGTTCGTTCTTTGATTAATTGGAGTTATTGGGTCCTATGAGATTACCCGATACTCCATTCTTAGATCTGATAAATAAGTTTAGGTTTTGGATATCTGGGGGTCTTGATTCTGTCGAACGCGTGATGTCTGGTAATAGCAGTTGCGAGAGGTGCTGTGAGGGTCACATGGACTCGACGGGCGATTGGGGTAGATGCCATTGCCAAAGTTGTGGCAGGTATCTGTGCGGAAGATGTACTCGGGGATCCGAACCCGCCCTTGTTCTAGATTCAGGTGGGTCGAAACACGGGGAAGCTGGTGGTGTGGTCGGCATTAAGCACTGCAAACTTTGTGCTGAGAGTAAGGTCAGAGCAGAAGGTCGGAAGAAGTACTGTGAGAAAGTACACCCTCGAGATAGTCCGGAGCCGCCATCGCCTTGCTTCAGTTCGAATAGCGAGTCTATTCAAAGCAATTTGGCCCAATTCCTGGATTCTCAAGAGAATTTATATTCCACACGTGGCGTGATCACCAGCGGCATGGCTTCAGTTACTGCTCATTTAGCACCGGTATCTGTTCGTTGCTCCCCGAGCAGGTAGCTTGAGGAAGTCTCCTTACATCAGTATTTAAATAATAGTTAGTGTCCGTATCGTTTGTTATATTTTGCATTGAAGATAAGGCAATTTGTGACAGAGGCATGCCGAATATGGAACGGCCATTTTGGTTGGCATTTGAGAGGCATTTAGCTTGTGTTTAGAGTTGTTTCTGCTGTTGTATTGTATTAATTGTTTTTAATATTGAGTTCTTGATTGAAAATTTTATGGGTCGGGGTATGCTCGAGTACCTGAAGAGCATGATATGTGACAGAATCACCCCTTAATGATCGTTGATACCTTCTCGCGTAGTGTATTTTTGACAAGATTCATGTGATGAGTGCATTGATTGAAATTGCCTTTGTAGTAGTCATAAACTTTAATGAATTTAGTGTGAATCTATTCCTGAAGTACCTGAAATGGATGTGAAACGGTTACCGTTTTGGTAAATTTTGCAGATACAAAAGTGATGAAGAAGCGGAGGATTCTGGGAAGCACTCAGTAAGTCCCTTGAGTGATTATTCTCATGGGATTACAGATATAGGTTCACGTAGTTTTAGTTCCAGACATGATTTCGACAGTTATAGGTCTGTGTTTTCCACTCCTTCAAACAGTCCCTCTAGGATTAATTATACTTCCTATAGACGTGGACAGTTTGCACAGCACGAGCAAGAGGGAAGCCCGATGTCTCGTGATGGTCTCTTTGATCCAGAAGGCATGGCTGTTTTAAGAAAGCCTGAGGTAGGGACTGAGGATGCAGAGAGTAGTGATTACTGCTCGGATGATTTGTCCATCTTCAGAAGCCAGTATGAAACATCTCAACAGCCATTGGATTTTGAAAACAATGGCCTTATCTGGTTTCCTCCTCCACCTAATGATGAAGATGACGAGGTGGAGGGCAATTTCTTTGAATATGACGATGAAGATGACAATGTTGGAGATTCAGGAGCAATATTCTCGTCCAGCAGTAGCCTTTCTAGTATGTTTTCAACAAAGGAGAGACAACATGAGGGAAATAAGGAGCCTTTAAGGGCTGTGGTCCAAGCTCATTTTAGGGCTCTTGTATCACAGCTATTACACGGAGAGGGAATCAAGATGGGCGGAGAGGATAGAGCTGAGGAGTGGACTGATGTGGTGGCAAACATATCATGGCAAGCTGCAAATTATGTGAAGCCAGATACCAGCAGGGGGGGTAGTATGGATCCTTGCAATTATGTTAAGGTTAAGTGTGTAGCAACAGGAAGTCCAAGTGAGAGGTATCTCTTCTTTTCAACTTTTTTTCTTCTTTTCTCCTTTGCTCTCTCTGCTCAATATTGGGCAGAATTTAATGCTGGATGGTTTGTTGCGCCTGATTTGTTGATTTTTAACAACGGGAGTTTCTGTTTCTGCAGCGCCCTCATTAAGGGGGTAGTATGTACAAAAAACATAAAGCACAAGCGCATGACATCACAGTACAAAAATCCTAGAATACTGATTTTAGGAGGATCGCTTGAATATCAGAGAGCTTCAATTCAGCTGGCTTCTTTTGACACACTACTGCAGCAGGTGGTCTTTCAACTTACTCGTAGTCTTATACTGGGCAGACTGCTAGCTAGCTTTTCCCTGATACTGAAGGAGAGGACAAGAAGTATTGTTAAGTAATAGAGAGCAATTCTAATATTGTCAGACACTTTTTCGGACACTGGTCGTGCTCTGTACTTGGTTGTAAACAGATTGATTTCGATGTACATAAGGCAATTCATATGAGGAAATTGCGTCTTCTTGATCATTTCTTTTTCTCTTTAAATCTCTTTTTGCGCATGGGCTGGTTCCCAATAATGAAATTTTTACTTTTTACTATCAAAATAGTACTTGACAGTAGCATTTCATTCCGATTATTAGCTTCCCCATGAATGATTGGTTTAGGTTCTTGAGACTTGATTGTTTCCTCTCTCTATAATGCTTTTTTGCTTGGGGATGGTTGCCAAGATAATACACTTACGTTTGAGCTTTCTGATGGATCAGGAAATTGATCATCTCAAGATGATTATTTCAAGAATAGAGGCTCTTCATCCAAATGTTCTGCTGGTAGAGAAAAGTGTTTCGTCTTATGCTCAAGAGTATCTGCTGGAGAAGGAAATATCTTTGGTGTTAAATGTGAAAAGACCGTTGCTGGAGCGTATATCCAGATGCACTGGTGCTCTAATTACTCCGTCGACTGATAATATTTCTACGACAAGGTTGGGGCATTGTGAACTCTTCCGACTGGCAAGAGTGTCTGAAGAACATGAAACTTCCACCCACTCAAACAGGAAACCCTCTAAAACTTTGATGTATTTTGAAGGTTGTCCTAGACGCTTGGGTTGCACGGTATGTTTCTCATGCTTTCTGGAAGCTAAATATTGCACAATTTAGTCCAGTAGTTGATTTGTCATTATTTGTTGGATGATGCATGTTCATATCTGGCCTATATTTTGTTGGGAATCATCAAGTTGATCTATTTATTAGTTTAGTACAAAGGCATTGCGTTTTTGTGAGTAATGTAACCGTAATATGCCTGACTTGTTCAAGGGAACAGGCGGTACCATGTTATATTTGCTCTCTAATGTACCGATTATTCTTTTCTTCAGGTTCTTTTGAGGGGCACGTGTCGTGAAGAGCTAAAGAAGGTTAAGCACGTTGTTCAGTATGCAGTGTTTGCTGCCTACCATCTATCGCTCGAAACTTCCTTTCTCGCTGATGAGGGTGCTACGTTGCCCAAGATAGCTCTAAAACGATCTTTACCGAACGAAAAAGCTGCCTATGGTGTCCTTTTGCCACTTTCAGCTTCTAATAAAGCTAATTATGAAGATTTAACTGATGGCTGCAGTCTAGATAAAATTGTGGATATTGGTTCAGAAATTGGAGGAATGGAAACCCTTTGTAATCATCTTGCTCATGGTTCTCCATCTCCACAAATGGAACTCAGTGGCCAAAGTGCACTCTCTGATGCATACAATGACGATTCAGCTCTAATTGATGGTCTTGAATCATGTGGCTTAAGTCAGTCCAAAGACTTCCAGAGATCTGCTGATTTTCCTTGTAAGACTGGAAATATACCCCTGCCTCAATTACCTGGAGGTACACATCAGGAAGCGTTGCAGGCCGGTGCAGCTGCTGAAGGGGAAAAGTCTTTGGGGAATGAGGAAAATGAAGTGGCTGGTGAGTACTTTTCAGCCACTGACACTAACCAGAGCATATTGGTTTCCTTTTCAAGTCGATGTGTCCTTAAGGGAACTGTGTGTGAACGATCTCGGCTTTTACGCATCAAGTTTTACGGGTGTTTTGATAAGCCTCTTGGGAGATATCTTCGTGATGACCTTTTTGATCAGGTTAGTGCTTCATCATTCTTTCGCTTTATTTTTAGTTTATAATAGTTCCTGATTTTATGTTGGATGGGATCTATGAACTAACCAGCATTTTTTATTGCCAGACATGTTGCTGTCGATCTTGTAATAAGCCTGCTGAAGCCCATGTCCTGTGCTACACCCACCAGCAGGGGAATCTTACAGTTAATGTAAAGCAGGTTCCTTCTTTAAAACTACCTGGTGAACAGGATGGGAGGATATGGATGTGGCATCGGTGCTTAAAGTGTGCACACGTGGATGGAGTTCCACCGGCTACTCCAAGAGTGGTCATGTCAGATGCTGCATGGGGTCTTTCTTTTGGAAAATTCTTGGAACTTAGTTTTTCGAACCATGCAACTGCTAATCGTGTTGCTACATGTGGCCATTCCTTGCAGAGAGATTGCCTCCGTTACTATGGGTAGGTTGTATTGGCTTTGAATTTCTTGTAGCAAATAGTCGCATTTACTCGAACTATTGATTGTTAAATTTCTTATACTTTCCATTTGGCAGCTTTGGAAGCATGGTTGCTTTTTTCCGATATTCTCCTATTGACATTCTTTCTGTCCATCTACCTCCTTCGAAGCTTGAATTCAATGGTCTTCAACAAGAATGGTTAAGAAAAGAAGCAGCAGTGGTACTTTCACATCTCTATTCTTTATTTAGTGCTTCACATAGATGTATTCTGATACCGGCCGTGTCATTTGGTAGTGATTGAACTTGTGTCTATATTCGCAGTTGACAGACAAGGTGGAAAATTTGTATCTGGGGATGTCAGATGTACTTGACAATGTTGAACAGAAAAGTATGTTTCTTGGACATGAATCTTTAGATACAAGTGAGCTCCGGAACTACATCAAGGACCTGAAAGATCTTCTAAAGAAGGAAAGAAGTGATTACGATGTGAGATTCAAGTTACTTGCAGCTATTCTTTTGTCGCTTTAACATCGCTGGGTGTATAATAGCAGAACCTTAAAGTATTGGTCTAATCTATTCCCTACATAGTTGGCTCTCCCATGACCTTCCTCTGTTTTTTCATGCAGGAGCTGCTTGAATTAGCTATGATGGAGTCGTCGCAACAAGGTCAGATGACCATAGACATTTTGGAAATGAATCGCATGCTGCGATCTCTCATAATTGGTTCCTGTGTTTGGGGTCGCCGGCTCTATTCTCTAGATTTGCTTGTTGAGAGAGACTCTCCTAAGACAAAGCGAGGGGATGCTTTATATGCCCAACTGAAAGAGTTGAGAAATGATCTCCTGTACAAGGATGGAAGCGGTAACATCTCTGATTCCTCGGAATTGACTGCTGCGTCTGCCAGTGGATTTTTCTTAGAGCAAGCGGACACACATTTATCATCACTGGGTCCTTGTGTCCCTGAAAATTCAGCACTGACTTCTACCCATCATAACACAGAGGAGGATGTGCTCTCAAATGGAGAGATCAGTTATACTAACACCTTCTCTGAAACTATTCCCACTGAAGAACCTAATCTTTCTGAGAGGATAGATTGCGCATGGACCGGTAGCGATCATCTCACGACAGAAAATCAACCTTTCCATAGTTCGCTGGCTGATGGAGCCACAGCTTCTTCTGGACATATTAATGAAAGTAATAGCCCCCCTTTTAGGAGGTTAATGTCACCTCTGAGGGTTCAGTCTTTCGACTCAGCAATGAGAGTGCGTGACAGAATTCGGAAAGGTTTGCCCCCTTCTTTGTTGCATTTGTCAACCCTAGGATCATTCCATGCTTCTGGAGCTTATAGAAATATGTTGAGAGACCCGGTTTCTAATGTAATTAGGACTTACTCACAATTGTTGCCATTGGAGGCTCAGAAGTTAAACTTGACTGTTAGCTCCGCACCGTCTCTCATCGCCACTTCATCTCTTTTGGCGGGGGGAGCCCGCTTGTTGCTTCCACAAACAGGCCATAATGACATAGTAATTGCTGTTTATGACGAGGAGCCTACTAGCATTATATCATATGCACTTTGTTCTAAAGAGCATGAAGACTGGGTCTCTAGTATGTCACGTGAGCATGGAGGGGACTGGAGCGGTGATGATATTCACAAGGATGATGTCGTGGCTTCTAGCTTTACCACTTGGCAATCTTTTGGTGCTCTCGACTTTGACCATGCCAATTATGGGAGTTATGGATCAGAGGACGCATCGTCGTCCATGGCGACAATTTTCAAGGACTCGAACAAATCTCCACATTTGCGGATTTCTTTTGGGGACGAGTCCTCTACAGCTGGTGGCAAAGCGAAGTTTTCAGTCACATGTTACTTTGCGAAGCAGTTCGACTCTCTGCGAAGGAAATGTTGCCCGAGTGAAGTAGACTTTGTTCGCTCACTGAGCCGATGTCGGAGATGGAGTGCACAGGGAGGAAAAAGCAATGTTTATTTCGCTAAATCTATGGATGAAAGATTCATTATTAAGCAAGTTACAAAGACGGAGTTGGAGTCCTTTGAGGAATTTGCTCCTGAATATTTTAAGTATCTGACAGAATCTATCAGCTCAGGAAGCCCAACATGCCTTGCTAAAGTTCTTGGACTTTATCAGGTTAGTTTATTCTTCTTGTTCTGTCCTTACCTTCTTCTTCTTTCTTTGCGTGCAGGTGTTTAGATGACCTATTCCTTTCAGGAAAATGACTGATCTCTCTTTTTCCCTATGGTCCGTGTCCGCATTTGGTTGAGTAGGTCACTGTGAAAAGCCTGAGAGGCGGGAAGGAGATGAAAATGGATTTGATGGTGATGGAGAATCTCTTTTTTAAGAGAAGCATCTCAAGGGTCTATGATCTTAAAGGGTCAGCAAGAGCTCGTTACAATCCAGATACGTCGGGAAAGGACAAAGTACTGCTCGATCTGAATCTTTTGGAGACTTTGCGCACAAAGCCCATTTTCCTAGGAAGCAAGGCAAAGAGAAGTCTGGAGAGGGCCATCTGGAATGATACGTCCTTCTTAGCGGTAAGCTGAAGCTTCTAGACATGTTGATTCGTAGTTTTGACACTTGTTTGAGATGCCATTGCAAGAGCAGTAGAAAATGACACAAGTGGTCCTTGAACTTTGACCCGATGTGCAATATCATCCCTGAACTTTAGTTTTGTTCAATGTGGTTCTTGAATTATTGGTAAACATTCAATGTGGTTCTTCCGTTTACTCTAACGACAAATCAAACGTTGATGATGTGGATTATTATAAGCTGTAAACATTGTCTAAGAGAAAGAAGAAAAGAGATTGGTATCTGTTTTTTATTTGGTTGGTGGCCTCTGTTGGAGTTTTATTGAGTTCTTTTGTGATAATATTCCACGTGGAAATTTCTTGTCCTAATTGGAGATGAATATCTTTCGTGGAGAATACGTGTGTAACTTTTCTTTTTGTCCATCATTTAAACTTGACATTTGGTCAAAGTTCATGCACCATTTGTGACATTTTCCCCAAGAGCAGCGCAGCACTAAGTGTGATCTGATAAAAGGCTCTTGAATAATCTGACAATGAAACCTTATAATTGGACAAAGACACCGATGCTGTCTGTTAAGGTTTACACCGGTTCTTTTGCAATTTATTTTACTGTGAACTGTCTGCCTCCAAGCATTTCCCTCTGCAATCTTAAGAATGTGGTTTATGATTATTATTCTTGTCTTTGTGGATGCAGTCTGTCGATGTTATGGACTACTCGCTCCTCGTTGGTGTGGACGACGAACGCAAGGAGTTGGTTTTGGGGATCATTGACTTCATGAGGCAATACACCTGGGATAAGCATCTGGAAACGTGGGTCAAGGCGTCGGGAATTCTCGGAGGTCCGAAGAATGCTTCACCAACCATCATATCTCCCAAGCAATACAAGAAGAGGTTCCGAAAAGCCATGACTACGTATTTTCTTACCGTACCGGATCAGTGGTCGCCTTGAACAGAACGTACGCATTCTTTCTTCTTCCTTTTTCTCCTTTTCACTGAAAATGTATTTATTCATTAATAAGAAAATGTCGAGAAAGCTACAGCCGCAATGCAAATGCAGAGAAAAAATAGGCTCTTTAATTTCTCTTTTGCCGCGACATCTTGTATACGGGTAGAATTAGCCCACGACCAGGTCTTAACATAATGAAGGGGAGGAATTCTTTTGGCAAAACATGTCTCCGTACATTCTTTTTCCTTCGAGAATCTTTACTCCTTGAATTGCCAGTGTTCTTTCCTTTGATAGCTTTCATGATGACTGGTGGCTTCAGAAAGTTCTGTTATGTGTTTGGCATGAAGTCATTGTCATTTTGAGCTATTTTCCCCTTGAGTCTAGTTGGGGCATGATTGAGTCAGCGACGCGGTTCAATACTCGAGAGCCCCGCTCTATTCTAATTCAAGACTCGATACTCGTCTCTGTTTCGATCCAGTTTGATTTTACAAGCTCGAGCTCTAGCCAAATGTAATTTGAATGAGCTCGAGCCTGTCTAGCCACGACTTCGGAGCTCGACCTGACTCGATTTAATTAGTCGATAAGTTTCAGTCACGGCTCAAATCAAATTCGAACTCAAGTCAGACATCGAAATGCTTTACTCGCAAGACTGTTTGGAGCTTCCCGTAGCTTTTCGGTGGAAAGCTGAAAGCTTGCACAACTAGTGGAATGTGGTTTCAATGATTAAAGTCTAATCATGGGTAATCATCGTCCAATTAAAGTATCAAATTGGACTTCAAATGAGAAGCGAATGCATTCTAATATGCTTCGAAGACTTTGTAAAACTCGAACTACTGAAGTAATGCGTAGGCAATAAAGTGGACATCAATAAGGAAATTGCGTGGATGGCGTACATTCATAGATGTTATACTTGTTCAATGACTGAAATTGAACATAACTGTTTTTAATGGAGATAAATGAAGTGCGTAGAAAAGGTAAAAGCCCCACACGACTAAAAAAGCTTTTATAACTAAAGACAAGGGCTGGAACGAGGAAACCTAATCCAATTCGAGTTTGGAATTCAAACTCGAGACAAAATCTAATCCAAATTGATATGTTACAAGTAGCCTTCTCATCTTCAAAATCTAATGTGCTCTTTTGTGATCTCTGTTTTCTTGATTGACGGTGTTGTGCGTTGTCAGTGTTGAATGTCTTGGACGTCACCTTTACTTTGATTCCTCTTGTATCTTTAATGTGCCATTCTGTTAGGCATCCTGATCTTTATCCGGAAGAATCGTTGCCTGCCTCTCGGCTTGCGCACTACTCTAGAGATGATTTGTAATTGATCCAAATCCCTTAACTACAATTATTGATTGGTCGGGAGATCTTTCTTGACTCAGTTTCCAACTCCTTTCAAGTTTCGAGGTAATTCGTCACCACGTCGTAAACTTGACTTATACTCTATCCATTAAAAACTCATGATTGATGAGCTCGTTAGACATTCTACCAATGAGCTTCTTGGGCCAATCATATTTGTATAACTTTTACGATCAATGGTCTTGTTAGGCATTCCATAGATCGCGCCTTACGAGTTAAATGCATTGTCACGGCCTCGTTTGGGCCATTAGCTTCTTTATGTTAGTACCTAGATTTTGGGCCTCGTGTTAACATATGCCTCTCTTAAATGCAACACACGTCTTTCCATTTAGACAAACATGCATTTTAGCCCTTTAATTGATAGGCTTAGGACTTCATTGCACTTTTTGAAAGTTTTAAGATACAATCGCACTTTCTCGTTTAGGATCTATGGTGCATATTTTTGTTTATCAATATTATATATCGATAGTATTGTTCGAGAAGACAATATTCTTATGCTCTCTTGATCCTTAAATGTGTAATCACCCATACTTTAAGGGAGCGAATTCATTTAAAAGAATAAACTAGTATCGAGGCATGCGTGCGCGATGATCGTGGATGGCTCATGTATGAAGAGAAAAGAATCACTCTTTGGGAGAAAAATTGGATGAGTATTCATCTAAGTAAGATGTAGCGGGTAATTAGGAATTGGATGTTAATTTAGTGAAAAGAGAGTAGGGGTTAATTTCATTTCTATATCATTCCGATGCAAAAACAATGGCGGGACATCTGATAAATGAGAGAAACCTCACTATTGTCTCCAACATATAGACAAATAGATAGTCAAAGTAATTACAACTTCTTCGTATTTTATTTCTTTTTTTGGGTCCATCACTAGGCAAGAGTGAGAAGCACCATGTCTTCACAGCTTGTTGCAAATAAACCTGACTACCTAAAATGTGAAAGGACATACGTTAATGTGGCTTGAGCACTGCTAATCGTTCTCCTTAATCAGAATCAAGAAGCCACAGCGATGTGCTTATCTCCTCCATCCACTGGTAGGAAGCTCACCCGTTTCTGCAAAAGACAAGCACTGAACATTAATCAAGTTTGCTCAAAAGGAGAGATATTTAAAAAGCGGGTCCAATTACACCTATTCCTTATCTTACATGGAACGGAATGACGTAGCGATATACCTCTTTCAGGGGTCGATTAAACCAAAACCGACCCCACTCGTGAAATGTCATTTTGACCCCTCTTATTGATGAAACGGATATAAAAAAAAAAGAAAGACCCAACTTTATGGGAAAAAAAATTCAAACTTTGTGTACATGTTTAGAGCATTGCAGACTCCCATGAATGGTCAAACCCACCAAACATAAGTGTAGTGGAGGAACTGGACATACCTCACGAGTTTTGATACGTTCACCAGCTCTTCCATGGCTCCTCACTTTCCATGGTCCATGCTGGTCAAACAAGCCGCTCTCATCGCCTCTCGGTTTGCTTCCCAACCCAACATCGACTTTGCGGTCGTTTGCAATGTAGAGGTTGATGATCTTCTCGGCCACCTCAGCTTCGTCTCTACTCTCCTTCATCAGCCTATCCACCTCTCCCTTCGGAAGCCTCATCCTCAGCCTCGTACCGCCGCCATCGCCATCTTTGGCATTCTTTGTTGCCCCCCCGATGCTTGTCGGGTTCACAATGGATAGGTCCGAGACTGACCTCCGCGCCAGCATTAGGCTCTCGAGCCGGTCCCTGGCGCTCATGCTTATGCCCGACCTCACCCTTCTCGGCATCCTCTCCTGAGAGCTCTCGGGCAACTCCACTAGGAAATATAGCCTCTTGGGCTCCAAATTTTGGTCTGCCTCCAACGGCCTCGCCCGGACGCCGAAGTGCTTCACCGCCTCGGATTCCAGCAAGACGTACCCCGGGTAGCCCCTAAGGACATCCCCCGCGAGCACCGGCGTCCTCAGCTTCAAGGTCTCGCCGGATATCTTCATCACCTTGGCCGTTTTGTTCTTCTTGGCTCCAATGGTGTTGCCCATTGTAGTGAAAGCTCGAGCTTTGGTTTTCAAAATGGGAAGCAGTAGAAGAAGAAGAAGAAAAACAACAACAGCAAAGTACACTAATGACGAGAGATGTTTCGCGTTTTGTCTTGGGCTATAAAAGCTCCAAATGTTCACGGTTGGTGTAGTAGAGAGAGTCTTTGTTTATGTATATTGTATGGTTGGTTTCTGTTTGCTTAGGTTCACTGGTCAAACAGAGAAGCCAATTTTGAAAATAGGGGAAGAATGTTTGACGAAAAACCGCAAACGTGGCTTTATCGCCTTTTCAATCGACGATTAACATTTTACGGGTTAATTAGATTAATCGTTTTTCTTAAAGATTTAAAGTCAAACAAGATATAAGAAAAGGTCAGGATCCGAATGCTTGATTTGTGCTCTGATGCCATGTTAGACGAACCGATTTCTCCTGAGAGTTTACGTACGTCGCGCGCAAGGACAATCGGCGTAGCATTATCTGCGGCTTCCCACGTGATTATCGCTTGGTTTTCGCGATGTACGTGGCAAGCTGACTGTTTCCTCCGTGATGAGATTTCGCTGCCGTGACGAAATTTCTCCAAAGTTCAACAACCATGGATGTTGTTGCCCGATCGCGAGGAGACTGTTGAGGAAGAATTTATAACATAAAGTTTAGATCCGAAATCGACCATGATTTTACGTGCAAAAGAGGAGGAATGATAATAAATTCAAGAAAGGGAAACGCATCGCTTTCGTCGGTTTCGGTGGTTTAGGAAGCAATCAAACGGAAATCACGGCGTGGACTCGTGTGTTCGAGGAAAAAAATGTTGCCAAAGATTGCGAACGACCATGTGGTTCGTATCGACTTCTTCAATCTTGGAGGACTCTGTTGAGCTTGAATGATGTGATGTTTCTTGTAGATTTGTCAAGGGAAGAAAGTGCTTGGTTCGATGCATACCAGATTCTTTTCATAAAACCAAGGACGCGAACATGTTCGGCGGATGGGCTAACTGTCCAAAAAGTCGCAAATTCTATTGTACGAGAACTAATTCGGTCATTAACTTTTTAATTTGATCAATTTAGTCGTAAGCCTTTTGACAATATACCTATGTAGTACTTTCGACTAATTTGGGCATTCAATACGCGGTACGGCCGATGTTGACGTGGACGATTTTTTTTCGAATTTTTTGAGTTTTTTGAATTTTATCCTTTTTCTTTTTTTCCTATTTCCCTCCGCCGGCCATCGTCGAGACCTCGACAACCAGCGGAGGGATATAGGGAGAAAAGAAATGAAAAAAAAGAGAAGAAAATTCAATTTTTTTTAAAAAAAACGGAAAAATCGTCCACATTAGTGCTGGTCGTGCCATTTAAGATGGCTGAGACTGATTGGATCGCTACAACAACGATTTCCGGCCAAAATTAGTCCGAAAGACTACGTTGACAAATTGGCGGTCGTATAAATAGGTTCAAAACTTTTTGGACAATTTTCCCATTTACAGACTATCCGAAGAAAAGTAAATACAACAACCTGTCGCCATAAGCCCTACTTAATTTGTGTCCCTAGGACCCGAAGCCGAACTGCAACCGTGAGAACGCCCTTACCGCTTGGTTGGTCCAAGGGTAGGGTTTTACCAACCCTCCGTGTCTTTAAGTAATAACCAATGTCTGACTAATGAAGAGGGTTTTTCACGTACAAAGTTTGTTTTTTCTTCTCCTGTTTTTACATAATTATAATGGTGGTGATCAAAGACAGCAACCCGAGAGACACCGAGAGCAAGTTGAGAACGGAACACCTCACTTCTTGCTTTCAAAGCATCATAGATACAGCAATGCCATGCCAACCCTAACCTAAGAGCTCTGGAAACTAGCACCCTTGGCAGCGTCTTTCAAGAAATAGACGATCCCTCGATTCGTCAGATTGCTCGAGAGCAAACAAAGGGGATCGAGATCGAGATCGAGAGAGAGCGCAGAGTCGTATACAACCATGTGAGGATAAAGCAGCAAGAAGAATACCATGTGGAAGCCAAATTGTCAAGTCACCGAAACGTGGGCTGACCATCACCAACTCAGTATCTAGTAAGAAGGCATTAGAATTCCGACTTTCAACGACACGGGACGACATCGGACAACCAAAGCCGTCGACTTAATTAATTCAGACATAGTCGAGCATGTTTTTACGTCGAGTCATTGGCGTCCAACATAAAAAAAACACGCGCCATTTTTTCGCTGATTATGGCTATAAAGAAGTGGGGAAAATCATATATAGAATGGTGTTCAAATCTGAAACCGTGGTGAGTAGGGAGACTGCAAGGGACCGAGTCCAAGATTGGTGGAGCCCGAAGATGAATAGAAAAATGAAGAATTCGCTTCGCTAGCTCGGTCTGACATGGAGCGTCCATCAACATGAAAGATCGCGAGATACTTCCCCAGATAAAAATTTCAGAGTCGGTCGACATATATATAGATATATTCATGCAATTTGGCTCGTTTTCAACGGAAGTAGGTACTGACTCGCTGAGTTGAAGGGAGCCAGCATAAACTGGTGAACACAACGCGTGAAGTCTCGAGCTTAGGTGGGGATTTTCGCAATCAACGGACCTTTTCATTATCTTAATCTCAACCCACACACAGTAATCGAATGTAATTTCGATGTCTCAAATTCGAAGTCATGGCGACACTTTGACAATGCAGAATTTCGCATACATTGGCCTGTATTTACGGCCAGATCAAGATTTATTGGTGCACACTTGGGAGTACATCGAAAGATTAGGACTTGGGGGGAGACATCCGAAGCAAAATAATTTCATAACAACCAACACATTGAATGAACACTTCCTGCGCATTTCGCGCAGTAAGAAACGAGACGGAGAGCAGTGAGATTGAAAATGTCACCTCAATGCCCCTCTTGTCAGTTCAAGCCCGGTTCGACGGAAAATGAACGAAGAAAAAGAATTCCAAATCTCGAAAGTAACAACTTGTCAGTATCAAGTAACACCCACACCGTCAGAGCTTGTTGAGTCTCTGGAGGAGCTCCAATAATGAAGTGGCCTTCCTTTTAGCCCTCTCTGTGCCGCTTTTGGCAAGCTCGGTCAGTGGTATGACGGCGCCGAGCCTCCCTATACATGCAAGATTCTCGCTATCTCTCTTGCACAGGGATAGCAGTATCGCAGCTGCATTCTCTTTGCTCCTTGGTAAACCGGTTCTCAGAAGATCTATGAGAACGGGGATCGTGCTAGACTTTACCATGCTAACCTTAGCATCCTGGCAGCTAGCAAGAACGGACAATATGGTCAGAGCTTCATCGACCATATAGTGACTCGAATCTGTGAGCATCTTCAACAGTGCTGAGATGATCCCTGCTCTCACGGCCCTACCTTTGTTTCCTTGGTAGATACACAAGTTGAATAGGGCAGTTGCAGCATCTTTCTTCCCCCTGGAGCTACCTGTCTGAAGCAACTCAACCAAAGCAGGAATAGCCCCAGATGCGCCAATTATTATCTTGTTCTCATCTCCAAGTGACAAGCTGAAGAGGGTCGCTGCCGCATTCTCTCTAGCTTCCATGGTCCCGGCTCTTAGGACTTGGACGATAGAAGGAACAGCACCCGCAAGCATTATCAGCCCTTTGTTGTTTTCGTATATCGAGAGGTTGAGGATGGAAGTGACTGCATTTTCCTGTACTGTCGTGTCTTCGGATGTTAACAGATTGACCAGAGCAGGAATAGCACCCGCTTCTGCTATCAGAATTCTATTATCAGTGCTTCTCTTGGACAGCGATCGGATTTCTGTTACTGCAGTTCGACACTCCTCAATGCACCAGCCGGAGAGCTTCCGGACTAGAGACTCGATGTTTGCTATATCACCGCTGATGTCACGGAAAGAGCCGTCGCTGTTTTTTATTTTTCCATTGACAAAAGCTGTCGGCTGCTCAATATTGTTATTCGAGCACCACTGGCTGATTAGACTTCTCAGGACGTAATTTGGAGTCAGTGTTAGATTTTGGAGCTTCTGTCGAGTCTTTGGACATGTAAGGTTGCCACTGTCTATCCATCTTTGTATGTAAGATCTTTCATACGTCTGCAGAAAAAAGCGACTCAGAAATCCTGGTGATAAAGTCAGTGAGGTAAAGTTCACAAAAAGATGAGAAGAAAACCTGTCCAGTGGCTACGATCACAGGATCTCTCATCAATTCCAATGATATTGGGCAGAGAAAATCCTCGGGTATAGAAGTTACGTTGGACTTTTTTATCTCCTCTGATTGGTTGCTCCGATTAGTGCCCAATTGGTCCCTCCTATCTTCATCTTGAGCATTTGATGGACAAACCTCCAATGATGAGGATGAAATTGTGAGCCCTTCCATGATGACTGTACAATCATCTTTGGAAAGGTCACTAGCTTGGGGAATGCTCGTGTTTGCCATGACTGTATGATCAATGTTACCAATATTCTCAATGTGCAGTGTTCCTATTGTGCGGCTGCCTGATTGCACTCTTATCTGATCAGACTCCATCTCCAATGGCTCAGATAAGGCCCGGGACAACATTTTTGAATTCAGAGGCCCATGCCTTTCTGCAGCTCTTCTCAACTGAGCTCTGACCAATTCAACCTATCGAAAGAAACTAACTTCAGGGAAAAAAGGTAGATTAGGATAAAGCTGAAGCACCACATATTTCCCGAGTGATACCTGTTCTTGAACTTCCTCGGAGATATCAAACTGATGATATGGCAGGCTTCCTAGGGCTTTCTCCAATTTCCATGTCACACACTGAAACTGGAATGCAATTTTCTTCGCTTCCCCCTCCTTAAAATCAGGAAGTACCACATTTTCAGAGATGAATCAAGACATTCTTCAAAGGGCGCACATGGGTATGACACCAGCTTAGCAAGAGCCAAGCTAGTTTAACAACAGTTTGCAATTAAAACAATACAAACCCACAACAAAATTAGCAAAGGAAAAGGAATCGGACTGCACAAATTGAGTAACTTGTCATCGATCAGATCAAATCCAGCTTTTGCAGAGCAGTATTCCAATTTGAAATTATGCCAAGGAAAACTTGGAAATATCGAAAAGGTTCATCCACGAGGATTCGCAGCAAAGGCATTGAATACAGACAATCACCTTTTCTCCATCATTGAATCAAATAAAAAATTTAATCCTACATCAGCTCTTGATTATACAAAACACCAGCTGGAATATCTCCCTATGTCAATACAGGA